AGGCAGCCAGAAGAGCTGGGGCTGGAAGTCCTGCAGGGAGGCCAGCACCAGCGTGGCCTTCGTGGTCAGCTCTCGGCGCAGGTTTCCGTCCGGGACCATCACCACCTGCATCCCGGCCGCCAGGGCCGCCTCCACCCCGTTGGGGGCGTCTTCGAAGACCAGGCACTGCAGGTGGGAGAGAGAGGGTTGAGACGGGTGTGCCCGGCGGACAGACGTGCAGGCCAGGCCTCCTTCCTTGTCTCCGTCGCTGGGAGGCGGGCAGGCGGGGACAGAGAGGGAGAGGCTGTGGCTCAGGGACGGAGGAGGGAGAGCACGCTGGTCCCACACGGCCGACCCCTTAGGGGACAGACGCCCACGATCCCAATCAGAGGCCGGGCGGGGCGCTGGGTTTAAAACTTTATTTCATCCAAATCCTAAAACTCTGCTCAATCAGTCATTGAACATGCAGAGCAGAGAGAGGAAGGGAGAGAGAGAAACTTCCATGATGAGAGAGAATCATGGATCGGCTGCCTCCTGCACGCCCCCTACTGGGGATGGAGCCCGCAACCCAGGCACGTGCCCTTGACTGGAATCGAACCCAGGACCCTTCAGTCTGCAGACCAACGCTCTACCCACTGAGCCACACCAGCCAGGGCCAGACTTTATCTGATTGGAATCTTAAAACTCTGTTCAATCAATAATTGAATATCTAGAGCAGGAGAGGTAATTGTGGGGGGAAACATGCTTTTAAGTAACTTCGGAGCTGGTCATGTTTTATTTTATTATTTACTTCAAATATATATATATACACACATATACATACATACACACACACACACACACACACACACACACACACACATAGTTAATCTTCACCCGAGGATATTTTTCTGTTGATTTTTCAGAGAGAGTGGAAGAGAGAGGGAGAGACAGAGAGAAACATCCATGTGAAAGAGACACATCGATGGGTTGCCTCCTGCACGCGCCTCGACCAGGGCCCGGGCCGGGGAGGAGCCTGCAACCGAGGCATGTGCACTTGACCAGAATCGAACCCGGGACCCTTGGGTCTGCAGGCGTCATTGTGTGCCCCCCTGCCAGCTAAGCCTAAGGCCGCTGAATCCACCCCCAGGCCTCAATGCCCCCCCATTCCCCAGCTAAGCTTAAGGCCATCTGAGTCCACCCCCAGGCCTCAATGCACCCCCATTCCCCAGCTAAGCTTAAGGCCATCTGAGTCCACCCCCAGGCCTCAATGCACCCCCATTCCCCAGCTAAGCTTAAGGCCATCTGAGTCCACCCCCAGGCCTCAATGCACCCCCATTCCCCAGCTAAGCTTAAGGCCATCTGAGTCCACCCCCAGGCCTCAATGCACCCCCATTCCCCAGCTAAGCTTAAGGCCATCTGAGTCCACCCCCAGGCCTCAATGCACCCCCATTCCCCAGCTAAGCTTAAGGCCATCTGAGTCCACCCCCAGGCCTCAATGCACCCCCATTCCCCAGCTAAGCTTAAGGCCATCTGAGTCCACCCCCAGGCCTCAATGCACCCCCATTCCCCAGCTAAGCTTAAGGCCATCTGAGTCCACCCCCAGGCCTCAATGCACCCCCATTCCCCAGCTAAGCTTAAGGCCATCTGAGTCCACCCCCAGGCCTCAATGCACCCCCATTCCCCAGCTAAGCTTAAGGCCATCTGAGTCCACCCCCAGGCCTCAATGCACCCCCATTCCCCAGCTAAGCTTAAGGCCATCTGAGTCCACCCCCAGGCCTCAATGCACCCCCATTCCCCAGCTAAGCTTAAGGCCATCTGAGTCCACCCCCAGGCCTCAATGCACCCCCATTCCCCAGCTAAGCTTAAGGCCATCTGAGTCCACCCCCAGGCCTCAATGCACCCCCATTCCCCAGCTAAGCTTAAGGCCATCTGAGTCCACCCCCAGGCCTCAATGCACCCCCATTCCCCAGCTAAGCTTAAGGCCATCTGAGTCCACCCCCAGGCCTCAATGCACCCCCATTCCCCAGCTAAGCTTAAGGCCATCTGAGTCCACCCCCAGGCCTCAATGCACCCCCATTCCCCAGCTAAGCTTAAGGCCATCTGAGTCCACCCCCAGGCCTCAATGCACCCCCATTCCCCAGCTAAGCTTAAGGCCATCTGAGTCCACCCCCAGGCCTCAATGCACCCCCATTCCCCAGCTAAGCTTAAGGCCATCTGAGTCCACCCCCAGGCCTCAATGCACCCCCATTCCCCAGCTAAGCTTAAGGCCATCTGAGTCCACCCCCAGGCCTCAATGCACCCCCATTCCCCAGCTAAGCTTAAGGCCATCTGAGTCCACCCCCAGGCCTCAATGCACCCCCATTCCCCAGCTAAGCTTAAGGCCATCTGAGTCCACCCCCAGGCCTCAATGCACCCCCATTCCCCAGCTAAGCTTAAGGCCATCTGAGTCCACCCCCAGGCCTCAATGCACCCCCATTCCCCAGCTAAGCTTAAGGCCATCTGAGTCCACCCCCAGGCCTCAATGCACCCCCATTCCCCAGCTAAGCTTAAGGCCATCTGAGTCCACCCCCAGGCCTCAATGCACCCCCATTCCCCAGCTAAGCTTAAGGCCATCTGAGTCCACCCCCAGGCCTCAATAGGGAGGAGGAGGGACAGGCTCAGGGAGGAGGAGGGACAGGCTCAGGGAGGAGGAGGAGGAGGGACAGGACCAGGGAGGCCCCTAGCCTCAACAAGGCTGCCTAGGACAGCATGGCGCCTAGATCCTCCCTAAGGGCCAGGGCCCCCCCAAAAGAAGGTGCTGATCCCATAACCTCTCCGGCTTTATCGCTGCGGCAGGCGAGGCCCTGCTGCCTCTGTGGCCACAGCACAGCCTGTGGTCATTATTCCAACACTAGCTCCTGCGATGAGGCCACCGCTGCTGGGAGGGCTGGCGCTGGGAGGAGCCCTCCGGTGAGCCGCTGGGGCAGGGGTGGGGAGCGTCCGGCCCACAGGGGTAGCAGGACCAGGACACCACTGGGTCTGGCCCCGCCGAGGCCTGAGGGGTGAGTTCATTAAATGCCTGACCCTATAGAGCAGGCGAACGTTTAAGCGGATGATTCTGTGTGGCCCGCGAATGAGTTATACACATCCCCACGGCCCTGGGCAGGAGAAGGTGCCCCACCCCCGGTCCAGAGGACGGGTGGACCTCAACTCCAGCCTGGACAGCGCGACACGCCTTAGAGAGAACGTCGCACCGGGTCTCGGCCGGGCGCAAAGTCCGGAGCGTCCACTGTGCGTCCAGGACTCCCTAAGCCCGCAGAGGGGCAGACACGCACATCCAGATGCCAGGAGAGAGACGCGGCCACGCGGAAATGCAGAAATGACACAACCACCAAGGAGCCCCCAGACAGGACGCAGGGCGTGGCCCTCCTGGCCTGTCCCCAGGGGGGCAGGGTGGAGAGCGCGTTGGTGGGTACCCCTCGGTCCTAAGGGGACCCCTTCTTCGCCCCCCCCCCCCCCCCAAAAACCAACTCTCATCCCTCCCGAACTGTCCCACCTCTCTTTGTGGCTTCGTCTTTTTCCCACACCTTCCACCCAAGTGTGTTGTGTAAAGTCCGATTATTTTTGTGAATTTCCAAGTACCTCTCCGTTATCGGCGTCCGTTTCAATTCCGCTGTGACGAGGGTACATGATTTCGATTCTTTTAAAACACGTTAGAATCCCTTCCTGCCTTAAGGATTCAGGGTTGTGTCTTGTTGAAGGTCCCACGAGTGTGTGAGGGTGATTTGTATTCTGCTCTTGTTGGGAACGTCGTCGTACAGATGTCGACTCAGATCAGTTGCCTACGTCTGCAAGAAACCTACCTTAAATATAAATACTCAGGTTGAAAAATAAGAGGATTGAGCCCTAGCTGGTGTGGCTCAGTGGATAGAGCATCGGCCTGCAGACTGAAGGGTCCCGGGTTCGATTCCGGCCACAGGCACATGCCCAGTAGGGGTCGTGCAGGAGGCAGCCGATCAGTGATTCTCTCTTATCGTTGATGTTTCTCTCTCTCTCTCTCCCTCTCCCTTCCTCTCTGATATGAATAAAAATATATGCAGAAGGCAGCCGGTCCATGATTCTCTCATCATTGATGTTCTCTCTCTCTCCCTTCCTTTCTGATATGAGTAGAAATATATTTAAAAAATAAATAAAAGGGTTGAGAATTCTATGTGACCTCACTAGTACTTGAAGGACAGTCAGGGTAGCCTATTTGTTAAAAATATATTTTATTGATTTTAGAGAGGAAGGGAGAGGGAGAAATTGAAACATCAATGATAAGAGAGAATCATGGACGGGCTGCCTCCTGCACGCCCCCTACTGGGGATTGAGCCTGCAACCCAGGCATGTGCCCTTGGCCAGAATTGAACCCAGAACCCTTCAGTCCGCAGGCCGACGCTCTATCCACTGAGCCACACCAGCCAGGGCCAGGGTAGCCCATTAAAGAGAGACGAGTGAGCCTCAGGATAGAGAATGACATTATCAGGGAGAACATCTCATAATGACGAGTGGCCAACGCAACAAGACAGCGGTGTACACACGCGTGCATCACAACACACGTGGCAAAACCTAGCAAAACTGGATGGAGAGACACACAGGCACGGACTTTGGCTTCCTCTCTCGGTCGTGATTAGAACAAGGAAACAGAAAACACGTAAGGACAGAGCCGACTTCAAAACACCTTCAGGCCACTGATCTGAGTCGACATCTGTACGAGGACGAACCCAACAGCAGAATACAAATCACCCTCACGCACTCGTGGGACCTTCAACGAGACGCAGCACGGAATCCTTCAGGCAGGAAGGGATTCTAACGTGTTTTAAAAGAACCGAAATCAGGCAGCATGTGTACCCTCGTCACAGCGGAATTGAAACGGACGCCCATAACGGAGAGGTACTTGGAAATAAACAAATAATCGGGTTTTAAACAGCACACTGGGTGTCAGGCGTGGGGGAGGGGGGGAGAAGACCAAGCCACCAAGGACGTGGGACCTTTCGGGAGGGATGAGCCTTGGATGAGGTCACCAGGGTGGGGCCCTACCAGGAGATTAGTGCCCTGTGAGAGGAGGACCCACCAGAGCAGGGTCTATCTGGGGTCCCTCGGGCATTGCATCGTAATCAGGGGCTGTTTCCCTGGTGATTGGCTCAGGAGGGACACGCCCCTTAATGACAATCAGGGGCTGTTTCCCTGGTGATTGGCTCAGGAGGGACACGCCCTGCATGACAATTAGGGGCCGTTTGCCTGGTGATTGGCTCAGGAGGGACACGCCCTGCATGACAATCAGGGGCCGTTTCCCTGGTGATTGGCTCAGGAGGGACACGCCCTGCATGACAATCAGGGGCTGCTTCCCTGGTGATTGGCCCAGGAGGGACACGCCCTGCATGACAATCAGGGGCTGCTTCCCTGGTGATTGGCCCAGGAGGGACACGCCCTGCATGACAATCAGGGCCTGCAACCTGGGCATGTTCCCTGGATGGGAATCAAACCCAGGACCCTTCCGTCCGTAGGCCGACGCTCTATCCACTGAGCCACACCAGCCAGGGCCAGGGTAGCCTATTAAAGAGAGACGAGTGAGCCACAGGATAGTGAATGACATTATCAGAGAGAACATCTCATAATGACGAGTGGCCAATTCAATAAGACAGCGGTGTACACACGCGTGCATCACGCAACAGAGCGTCACAGCACACGTGGCAAAACCTAGCAAAACTGGGTGGAGAGACACACAGACACGGACTTTGGCTTCCTCTCTCGGTCGTGATTAGAACAAGGAAACAGAACACACGTAAGGACAGAGCCGACTTCAAAACACCTTCAGGCCACTGATCTGAGTCGACATCTGTACGACGACGAACCCAACAGCAGAATACAAATCACCCTCACGCACTCGTGGGACCTTCAACGAGACGCAGCACGGAATCCTTCAGGCAGGAAGGGATTCTAACGTGTTTTAAAAGAATGACTGCCTCCGTCGCCAATGAGGTCAAGGTGACCTCCACCAATGACTGCCTCCGTCGCCAATGAGGTCAAGGTGACCTCCACCAATGACTGCCTCCGTCGCCAATGAGGTCAAGGTGACCTCCACCAATGACTGCCTCCGTCGCCAATGAGGTCAAGGTGACCTCCACCAATGACTGCCTCCGTCGCCAATGAGGTCAAGGTGACCTCCACCAATGACTGCCTCCGTCGCCAATGAGGTCAAGGTGACCTCCACCAATGACTGCCTCCGTCGCCAATGAGGTCAAGGTGACCTCCACCAATGACTGCCTCCGTCGCCAATGAGGTCAAGGTGACCTCCACCAATGACTGCCTCCGTCGCCAATGAGGTCAAGGTGACCTCCACCAATGACTGCCTCCGTCGCCAATGAGGTCAAGGTGACCTCCACCAATGACTGCCTCCGTCGCCAATGAGGTCAAGGTGACCTCCACCAATGACTGCCTCCGTCGCCAATGAGGTCAAGGTGACCTCCACCAATGACAGCCTCCGTCGCCAATGAGGTCAAGGTGACCTCCACCAATGACTGCCTCCGTCGCCAATGAGGTCAAGGTGACCTCCACCAATGACTGCCTCCGTCGCCAATGAGGTCAAGGTGACCTCCACCAATGACTGCCTCCGTCGCCAATGAGGTCAAGGTGACCTCCACCAATGACTGCCTCCGTCGCCAATGAGGTCAAGGTGACCTCCACCAATGACTGCCTCCGTCGCCAATGAGGTCAAGGTGACCTCCACCAATGACTGCCTCCGTCGCCAATGAGGTCAAGGTGACCTCCACCAATGACAGCCTCCGTCGCCAATGAGGTCAAGGTGACCTCCACCAATGACTGCCTCCGTCGCCAATGAGGTCAAGGTGACCTCCACCAATGACTGCCTCCGTCGCCAATGAGGTCAAGGTGACCTCCACCAATGACTGCCTCCGTCGCCAATGAGGTCAAGGTGACCTCCACCAATGACTGCCTCCGTCGCCAATGAGGTCAAGGTGACCTCCACCAATGACTGCCTCCGTCGCCAATGAGGTCAAGGTGACCTCCACCAATGACTGCCTCCGTCGCCAATGAGGTCAAGGTGACCTCCACCAATGACAGCCTCCGTCGCCAATGAGGTCAAGGTGACCTCCGCCACCGTGATCCCTGCCAGAAGGTGCCCTCAGAAAGGCAGGAAGTGAAGGCTAAGGGTGATGCACCCCCCGCCCTCCGGCTCAACCCCGGGGACAAAGCCTGGGGGCAAAATGCACACCTGGAGCTGGGCCAGGGCGGAGGCGGCCTTCTCGGTGGCATCCAGGCCTCTTCTTCATGCCCTTGGCGTCTCCTTCTGTTTCGCTCCCCTCTCGGTTACCTGTGTGGGGCTCGTAAGTGACCTCACGCTTTCAAAGACAGACTTTGGAGCCACTGCAAAGTGCCCCCTCATCTGTGAGACTCGTGCAAGGTTAGGGACGTCCACCCACAGAGCTACGGTGGAGAGGAGCAAGATGCGTCCCGTCCGGAGATTGAAGTGGCCGCTTCGAGCTCCTGGCGTGGGAGGGCTCGAGAACAGAGGGGAGTGAGCTGGTCATCAGGTGAGTCGCAGGGCGACACCCTCTGTCAGATCAGCTTCTGGGATTGCCTGTGATTGGCCGCTTTCTCAGCTGACACCCAATGAAGGCACTGCATGGGCGGGGACACAGGTCGGTTCCATACTGGAGACTTGGTAGCATTCCACCCAACCACCGCCTGGCGGGATGAGGCCTCCTTGCTCTTGGAATGGCAGTGGGACATGACATCCTATATGATAACAGGGTACTATGCTAATTAGACCGGACGTCTTCCAGACGTCCTTCCAGACAAAGCCACGGTGGCGGGGGGCAAAGGCAGAGGCGGTTAAGGGTGATCAGGCCGGCCAGGGAGAG